GTTTTGAATGCAGGGCCTCTCTGACTTCCAAGCCGGTGCCATTTCCCACACGCATCCCTACCCCTTGGTCCTCTTCCGCACCGTTGCAGTTCACTTTGCTTCATGTGTATTGGCTGTGTGCTTCTTCCCCTCGCTGGCCTGGCTGTTGAGACTTCCTCACCTTTATCCCCGCCCCTCCATCTTCAGCAGAGGGCCTGACCTGTGGGAGATGATGGAGGAATTTCTGTTGAACAAATGACTTCTCTCCATCTGTTTGCCCTTAATGTTTCATGCCTGCTCTAGTCCACACCTGCCTATTAAGTGGGAGGTCTGTTACCAGCAGCACAGGTGGGATTTAAATCCGGCAGCTGTTACCTGTGAGCTGACGCCTCTGCGCCCACAGGGGTGAGGTGTGTGGCGTGATGCCAAGTTACAGTTGGTTCATTAGAGGGAAAAAGGGCTGGTTGCTTTCCTATAAACACAGGCTTAGAGGGATTAAAACACATTACTTTTTAATCCTAAGATATTGGAGGGGGTGATCTTCACCTTCACTAGTCATCGAGAAAATTCCAATGAACAAACAAAATATTAGCATGGTTTCCAAGACAACAATACAGGTATCGATGAAGACCGAAGGAACGGATGCTCTCGTGCGCTCCTGGTGGCATTACGAATCGGTATAATTTTTCTGAAAGGCCATTTAATAAAGCTTATCAAGACCCTTAGATATGTTCATATCGTTGGACTCAGCAATTTCATATCTAGAACATTCTATCCTAAGGAGATCGTCGGTCAGGCACACCATGATTTATCCATGAAAACACTCATTGCAGCAGTGTCTACACCAGGGGTGGACAACCCCTGGCATGCGTGCCAAACATGGCACACCAGTAACTTTTGCTGGCACGCGAAACCCTCTCTTATAATCTTCCATTTACAATTGTGAATCTTTGTTCTCAGTGATGAATTTCGTTAAGTCTCGTAATAGGAGTAGCCTGACGGATGAAAGTAGTAGCCCGTGCATATCGCTGAAGGTCACGAAATATAAACCTGATGTAAAATCTCTGTCATCAGTGATGCAGCAGCAAAAGTCCCACTGATAATGTCAAACGGAGTCATAAAGTTTTCTGTCGGACTATCAGTGTACATGTATACATTAAAAAATGAATGTATTTTTCATCATCATATACTGTGTTTTTGTCGCTCGAATGAATTTTCTTATTTCTTCGAGATTCTTCACATACGTACGCCTTAAGAGATACCAAGTAGGCGTAACATGTTCTCAAAAAATTAGGGTTGGCACGCAGAAGAATTTTGAGTCAGAGATTTTGCTGGTTTTGGCACGCACTCACAAAAAGGTTGCCCACCCCTGGTCTATACTATGTCCATTGACACTGAAGGGCCCGATGAGTGCATCAATTTGAAAGACAACCCTGCAACCTTTAAACACAAATATGAAGAATAATGACTGGGGAAACGTTTGTAAACAATTGTTTAAGAAAACTCGATTATAAAATGATACGCATTTAATCAGAATCAATACTTACTATGTGTTTTACTTATTTCAGGAACTCGTTCAGCCCCTACAGTGATCTTCTGAGGCAGACACAGTCCTTGTTGGAGCTGGAGCTCAGAGAGGCTGCCCTGCAGGGGGTCAGGATTCCCACCTCTGACACTGCATCCCAGAGTCCAGGACCTTACCAGCCACACCAGCACTTCCAACAATGCGGTGCCTGGACCAGCAGCTCCACGTAAATGGTAATTCCCAGGCCGGCTCCAGGCCCTCAGGTCAGAAGCTCCGGGGAGGGGGGCGGGGAGGGGGACAGCCAGGTGTGTCTGAGCGAGCCTTTCAGGTGGATGCTCACTGAATGTGCGAAACCACTGCTCCACACTATTCCACTTTTTCTTGAAGTTTTGTTTAGAAAATGTAGGTGAATGTAGAAAAGGTCTCTGTTGAATTAGTCACTAAAATATTAACAGTGTCATCTCTGGATGGTAGCATTCTGGGTGATTTCCATTTTCTTCTTTGTGAGCTTTTTTTGGTCATTTCCAAAAGTTTCACAGTAAACATGTGCGACCAGGAAAAAATATATATTCTTTTAAAAAGAAGAAGAAAGGCCCCAGGAGAAGGAGGTCTGCATTGAACCTCGGGGAATAGGGGGTCTACAGAGGGAAAGCGTGTTTTCCTAAGCCCTGTGGAGGCGCCAGCAGTGCTGAGTGCGCCTGAATCCCAGGGGGCTTGTTAACACGCAGGCCGATGCAGCAGGGAGCGGGGCTGAGGTTCTGGATTCCCAAACAGCTTCGGGTGAAGCAGGTCCAGGGACCACACTTGGAGAAACAGGGACATGAGAGGTGTAAGCTCTGGACTCCCAGAATGCGAGCTCCACGGGGACCTTTTCTGGTTCAACGATGTGTCCCCAGAGCTGAGAGCAGAACACAAGCGTTGTCAGACACACGCGCTGAGACCCTGCAAGCGGGCGCCCCGCCGGGGACTCAGGACCCTGGGTTTTGATCGTGGTTATGCACCTGCCACCGGAATCCTCCCAGGCAAGCGGTGGCCTCGCCACATTCACCCAGCGGGGTGACAATTCTGGGCCCTCCTTTTCCGTGACCCGATGTCCCACCCGCTCAGCCTGGGCCAGGGCCAGGGCTGCCAGAGATTTCAGCCTTGAGCAAACCAGGGAGTACCAGGAACTTGGCAACGTGCAGCCAGGAGGTGTTTGTTGAGGCCCCAGGAAAGAAGTTAGTAATGGAGAAACCTCCAAGTCGAGGTTTCCGTAGAAACATTAACTCATCCACACAGTCCCTGTGCTGCATTTGGATTACAGGTTAGGCTGCTCGTAAGCCTGGAAGAAATTATATACTCTTCATATTATTCAGCCCTGTACTGTATAATAATAAATTATACAGTTATAGGCCTCAGCCCAAGTTATAACAAATTATACCACAGTGTATAATTACCCCGCACTGCACCATGTAATAATAAATTAGACAGCGAGAAACCTAAGTTGTGATTCCAGAAAGAGGTATGAGAGTGAACAGGGGCTGTTGATCCATTCCTCTGATCAGACCCTTGTCAGACAAGCTGGGGGCCCTTCTTTCCTTCCTTCCTTCCTTCCTTCCTTCCTTCCTTCCTTCCTTCCTTCCTTCCTTCCTTCCTTCCTTCCTTCCCCATATGTGGATGCCTCCTTGATCCTGAGTACAGACTTGACCTTGAAACCTGGACTGATTTGTCCCAATGCCCATCCTCAAGGGTTCCCAGGCTGTGGGGAGAACCACGCATAAACGGAAAATGCAACACAGTGTGATACCAGCTGAATGAACAGTAAAGGAATCAAAAGAAGCCGGGTAGCAAATGTATGAGCACAGGTGCCCTGCGGGGTGGGTGTCATCGTCTCCATCGGACAGGTGAGATGAGCAAGGCTGCAGGGACTTGCTCAAGGTCATACAACTGGAAACGGCAGGATGGGACTTATTCCAGGACTATCTGCTGGTTTCATTGTCTGAGGGTGCTAGTCCACGGAGTCAGCTTGGAGAGTGAAACTCAAGGATAACAAAAATGGACTTGGCATGTCCTTGGAGACACAGGTGGGAGACCTGCGCACCTTGTCTCCTGGGGAGCCCAGCACCGGCGGGCGGGTTTTCTGCAGCACCTGGGCCTGCTGCCTTCCCTCCCCTGCAGCACCTGGGCCTGCTGCCTTCCCTCCCCTGCAGCACCCGGGCCTGCTGCCTTCCCTCCCCTGCAGCACCCGGGCCTGCTGCCTTCCCTCCCCTGCAGCACCCGGGCCTGCTGCCTTCCCTCCCCTGCAGCACCCGGGCCTGCTGCCTTCCCTCCCCTGCAGCACCTGGGCCTGCTGCCTTCCCTCCCCTGCAGCACCTGGGCCTGCTGCCTTCCCTCCCCTGCAGCACCTGGGCCTGCTGCCTTCCCTCCCCTGCAGCACCTGGGCCTGGGGCAGCGTTGGTGGGTGTGGGGCGCTGCTGCCAGCCCTTAGCAGGCTGTAAACTTATTTGTCCTCTCAGAGACCTTTCAGAGAAGACACTCTTCCTATACCCAGTTTACAGATGAGGAGCCCGAGGCAGCAAGGTGCTAGCAATTTGCTCAAGTTTATGCTAGAGTAAGTGACAGAGCTGGAATCTCAACTTAGACCAGTCTGGTCTGCCAACCCCTCCTTCCTGACCACTGTGCCGCTACTTCACAAAAACCCAAGCACATTTATCTTCAAAGCCTAAACTTATCAGCAGTTGTAGGATGAGGGCCCTGGGGGACTGGGGGGTACATTATGTTGGAATGTATCTAACACTACATTCCAATATATTTGTGTCATGCTATTTTTTGATGCCGTCAGTGTAAAGCCTGAATGTTCATTAAAGTCCCATGCATAAATTAAAAAAAAAATTAAAGATTTTCTCTTGTATCTCACATCCATTGAACCACTGGTGCCGTAATTTAATTATTCATCTTTTTTTCTTTGTCTTAAGAACATATTAAACATGTAATTATAAGCTATGATTCCATTGTCATCTACATGCGAAAGAAGCCCAAAGGTCCAGAGACGTGAAGGCACTGTTGTGCCTTCTCTGACTGTTGTGGTCAGGGAAGGCTTCAGGGAGGAGGTGATATGAAAGGTGTAAAGGGTGAATAGGAGTTTAAAGGATAATCAAGGGAGGGAGAGGCATTCCAGGCAAGAAGAGTAAAGGTAAAGCCCTACAGGTGAGAAGAGATTGTCTTTGGGGAAATATCATCTTTCTAGGTGGTTTTATGAGGTAGGCAAGAGGTGAGGTGGGTGGCAGGCTGGGCCCTTAGATGCCTCACTTAAGAACTGGCCCGGTAGCTCAGTTGGTTACAGCATCGTCTCGATACACCAAGGTGGCAGTTCGATCCCAGTCAGGGCACATACAGGAACCAACCAATGAATGCATAAATGAGTGAAACAACGAATTTCTCTCTCTCTCTCTCTCTCTCTCTCTCTCTCTCTCTCTCTCTCTCTCTCTCTCTCTCCACCCCCGCATCTCCTGCTCTCCTAAAAAATCAATAAATGAAACGTTTAAAATACATTTTTTTAAAGAAAGAACCGGAACTTTACCCTGAGGTGGTGATAATCAGTGTGTGGACTCAGGGTCCCTCGGGGACTCCCCAGCCTTTCAGCATAGCCCAGAGAGTGAAACTGAGGTCCTGCAAGGACCAAGCTCAGCCTGTCCTGCTCCGTCCTCCAAGGCTCCCACACGCTGGTTGCGTGCTTCCTCGAATGTCCTTCTCGTCACGTCTGGCATATGGAAGAGGCCCAGTTGAGTGTTTCTCCCTGGAAGGGCATCTATGGGGGAAATGATAGGGTAGCCAGATAAACTACAGGTGCCTATTTCCAGTGAAATCTGAATTTCAGATAAATAACAAATGAGTTTTTGGTATAAGCATGTCCCAAATATTGCATAAGATATACTTACACTTAAAAAGGTGTCCATTGTTTGTGTGAAATTCAAGTTGAATAGAATGTCCTGTATTTTTCTTTGCTAAATCTGTCACATGTAGGTGGAGGAGAGCTGGTCACTTTCTCAATCAACTTCCAGTCGCTGTGCATCGGCAAGAGTCCCATCAGAGCAGCAGAGCCCTTTCGCGGGGTCTGGGAGGAGTGATTCACCGTAGGGCTGTGGCCTCACCAGTGTGGGAGCTGGTGGAGCTTCTGTGCCAGCTGCGCCCCTGCGTTTAGTGTGAGCTGGAAGTTTCCACGGGTCAGCAGAAAGAAGAGCTGCTGTGGGCGAGAGCAAGGACAAATTGGAAATTGCATCTATCTGTCACCAACCTCAATGCAAAAATGACCTGTCGGGGGACCAGGACCCCCTGGCCCAGGGCTTGGAGAAGCTGAGGGAGATCTATCTGGTGGGAACTCTGAACCTGAGCATCGCCCCGATGCCAACGAGGTGGACAGCAGGTCAGCAACCACATGCATGAGTGGCCTCTCTGCCTGGCACCAGGCACTGACCTTCAGCGCAGAAAATGATGGTGGTGCCCGGCTGGCGTGGCTTAGTGGTTGAGTATCAACCAATGAACCAGGAGGTCACAGTTCGATTCCTGGTCAGGGCATATGCTGGGTTGCAGGCTCCATCCCCAGCATTGGGCGTGCAGGAGGCAGTGATCAACGATTTTCTCTCATCACTGATGTTCTAACTCTCCCTCTCCCTTCCTCTCTGAAACCAATAAAAATATTTTTAAGAACATGATGGTGGCTTCTTAACGCATGCCTTGGCAACGTTGAGGAAAATGTTGCACGTGGCCAGTGTCAACCCAGCACCACAGGAAATGGGAATTCTGGGTCACATGACTCCAGCTTGGAGTACGTGAGCCAGTCCAAGGCCCTGTGGGCCGCGCAAAGCATGATTACAAAGGAAGGCATCCCAGTTCTGCCCTCGGCTAGCTCCTAACCTTGCGTACGTTAACTTCTCCATGCCCGGGTTTCCTCTTTTGTAAAATTTTTACAAAATTCATACCTCCCTTGTAGAGTTGCTGAGAAGATAGAATAAGACAATGAGTCTAATCTGACAGCTGCCACCTCATCAGCAGTTAATGAATAATAATGACTACTTGTTTCAAAGCGTTTGCTATCCATCTATGTTGCTATGGGAAAAAGAAGTCACTCGCCTTAAAAGATAAAATATTAAGAAACAGTATGTTGCAAAATCCTCTCCCAATTAAGTAACTCACCAGGTCAGTCTGGGAAAGATAACATAAACCTTCTTCAAACGCATCTCCAAATGCCCAGATTAAAATCATGCTCGTTATAAGTCTCAGCCACCTTCCCCTTCTCCCAAACAGACAGCACAAATAAGCCCTGAGTGATGAGAAGATAGTAAAATTATGCTTCGACACTGCTGCCGATGCCGTGGCTGCTGATTAAAAGGAAATTCTTCCTTTGAAAAGGCCAGTCATGAAAAGGGAAGTCTGGGCCTGGGAGTGGGCTTGGAATGCAAGTGCGGAGGCGGCCCGGCAGGTGGTGGCCACTAGGAGGCGCTGGTAAGGCTTGGTGCGGCCCGGAGGGGTGGGAGGCAGAAGGCTCAGAGGATCCCAGCTTTCTCCATTCCTGGTCCTTGATCATTTGTAAACTCAGGGCCCGTTCTCACTGCCATCTCAGTGCGGTGCCTTGTTTTTGTGGCTGAACAGGAAGGAAAAAAAAGCAACTTCACGGTGGTTGGAAGAATAGGGGTAAATTGGTCCTGTTGGGGTGCTGGAGGCCTTTTTATGATGCCCACTGGAACAGGTGGCCTCTGGGCAGTTTTTTGAGCCACTTAGCCTGATTCTACGCTTTTCTTTTGAACGAGAAATATGAATGCATTCAAGACTGGGGGGTGTGGGCCAGGGCTGGCGAGGGTGGGGAGTGTTCCCAGGAGCAAAGCCAAAGCAGGTGGAGGAAGTTCAGCCTGGCCCAGCCCTGCTGCCTGCACCACGGGAGAGAAATGGAAGGCAGTGTGGCAATCTGGACATGACAAAAAAAAAAATGTTCGTGTGTGTGCTCAGTCCGACCATCCCACTTCCAGGAATTTCTGTGCAATGAGGTTTATTGCAAAACTGTTTGCAAAGAGGGAGAAAATAGAAACAGCCCAAACCTTCACCAAGCGGGGGACGTGTGCCCCCCCTCCTTCTTCCATCAGCGCCCCTCCAGCTCATTCCCACCCGGCAGCCAGCCGGAGTGGTTTGTGAAAATTCGTGTTAGAGCAGGCGTCTCCCCTGCTCCAGCGGCTTCCTATTTCTCTCAGGATAAAAGCCAAGCTCCCACCACGGCCCCACCTGCTGGGCCCCAGCTGGCCTCGCCACCATCATTTCAAAAACGCTCATTCTCTACCTCCAGTCAAACGGCAGGGAGCTCAGTCCAGCCTCACGAACTTTGGCCTGGCTCTTCCCTCTGCCTGGAATATTCTAGCCCCGGCTCTTCCCGGGCCTTCCCCATTCTCTGTCTGCTGGTGGCTGTCTGAATGCCATCTCTTCAGGGAATCCGAACACTGCATTTCAATTGCTTTCTCCCTCGCCACCCAGTCTCTCTCCATCACTTTGCACCATCTTGTTTTCTTCGTAGCACTCGGCAGGTGAAATGAGCTCGATTATTTATTTGTGTGCTTGTTAATTGTCCCTCTACGAGAACGGAGAGCAAGGACTTAATATGTTGTGTGTCCTTGCCGGTTGTATAAGAAGCTGATACTACACACATGTTTGGCAAATGAAAGGAAGAATGAACAAATGAAGTTAAGAATTCTTATGAAGCTGTTTAAAAGAACGAGGTATTTGGAAAGGTGCCCCAAACTTAAGTAGTTGGATATGAGCCCATGTATGTAAAAACAAAATGCATGCAATAAGAATAGCTACCACTTTCTGTCCATCTGGACCCAGTGGTAATCACTTTTACATTTATTGTCTCATCTCCTTTGATCTTCACAGCAACCCCGGGGAAGTACCATCATGCTCACCATTCTGCAGGGGAGGAATCTGACCCAGAAAGGTTGAGAAAGTTGCCCAAGGTCAGCTGGAAAGCAGGGGAGCCAGAAAACGAATCCAAAGAGCCTGGCTCCCAGAAACATATTCACTAAGTGGTGATGAGTGATGACCTCGGTGAAGGTGAGGCTGAGGTGAGATTCGGGAGGCCCTGGATGTCAAGGGAGGGAGCCAGATGCCAAGTCTCTTCTTGGGGTGTGGTCTCAGCAAGTCACCTCCCTTCTCTCTGCCCCCCTGGGAGCCCAGGTGGTGGTCCAGAGCTTACTGAGAGGAATAAATTGGCTAATGTTCCCACGTACCTATCAGCCAAGGTTGTGAGCATTGGGAACAGGCCTAACCTTCGCTGCCAAAAAAATCCTGCTCCATTTTCTGGAGCCAAAGCCACACAGAGGCTCCGCAGGGCCTGGGTGCTTGGCTCAAGGCCAGGGTCTTTCCTCAGGGGCCCAGCTCCCAGCTGCCAGCCAGCATGCTGCTCCCACTGCACTGGAATGTGACTCCCTGGGTGGCCGGCCAGGGGAATGCACAGGGGGCATTCTCCAAATAGCTGAGCTCTAAGCTCAAGGTGCTAAGAGCAGGGCAGGCACGATTTCAAAGGGCCTCTGCCCACTGGAAAGACAAGATTGTAAAACTCGTCCTGAATCAGCAGAGCCTGCAGCTTGGAAGGGAAATGGAGTTACCAGCAAGTGGCTCAGGAATCTGGTGCCTGCCCCAGCAGCTCTGTTCCCACTGGAGGGTGTGGTCTTGGGCAAACTCCCTGGGTGCATTGTGCCTTTGGGTCCCCGGTAACCTCCCCTTCTGAGCACTCATCATGGACTGCAAGTTCACATTCATTTGAAAAATATATATGTTGTTTATAGATTTTTTAGAGAGAAGGGAGAGAGAGAGAGAGAGAGAGAGAGAGAGAGAGATCAATGTTAGAGAGAACATTGATCAGCTGCCCCCTGTGCACACCCCAACTTGGGACCGAACCCACAACCTGGGTATGTGCCCTGACTGGGAATCGAACCAGTGACCTTTCCATGAATGGGATGACGGCCAACCAGCTGAGTCACACCGGCCAGGTCACATTCATTTTTGTGATTATTTGGCAATCCCTGCCTCACCTGTTCCCTCCACCTGAAAGGGCCTGGGACTTTCCTGTTGCGTCCTGTGTCCACAGTGTGACCTCAAGCAGCTGCTGGAGAAATAGTTCTGAGTGAATTTCCCCTTCTGCCCGTTTTGTCAGGTTGGAGAGGCCCTGGGATTGCATTCTGCCTTCAGGACTCATTAGCTGCGTAACTCAGACTTTGCTTTCAAAGCTATAAGGCTGGAGAGGCAGCCTGTCTGGCTTTGAACTCACGCTCTGCCTCCCTTAGGAAACTTTCTTAACTTCTCTGTGCCTCAGTTTCCTCATCTGGAAATTGGGGCCCTCAAGTGCCCACGTCACAGATTGCTGTGAAGGATAAATGAACGGCTTCACACAGAGAGGACGCTTACAATAAGGACTGGGAAAGAGTACGGTCTAGATCAGTGATGGCGAACCTTTTGAGCTTGGCGTGTCAGCATTTTGAAAAACCCTAACTTAACTCTGGTGCCGTGTCACATATAGAAATTTTTTGATCTTTGCAACCATAGTAAAACAAAGACTTATATTTTTGATATTTGTTTTATATATTTAAATGCCATTTAACAAAGAAAAATCAACCAAAAAAATGAGTCCGCGTGTCACCTCTGACATGCGTGTCATAGGTTCGCCATCACTGGTCTAGACAAATATTAACTCGTATGTATCTATATAATAAAAGCCTAAGCGACCATTGCGGTGGAACTACCAGAACAACCGGTCGCCATGAAGCTCACTGACCACCAGGGGGCAGACACTCAACGCAGGCGCTGCCCCCTGGTGGTCAGTGCGCTCCCACAGGGGGAGTGCTGCTCAGCCAGAAGCCGGGCTCACGGCTGGTGAGCGCAGTGGCGGGAAAGGCAGTGCTAAGGAGCAGCAAGCCAAGCAGTTAAGGAGCAGCGAGTGGGCGGGCGGTAAGGAGCGAGGGTCCTGGACTGCGAGAAGGTGTAGGCCGGGCTGAGGGGCCGCCCCCGCCCAGTGCACTAATTTCATGCACTGGGCCTCTAGTTGTAAAATAATGATTACATCAACTTTCTTAAGGTGTAACTTACAAACAATAAATGCACTCCTTTTAAGAATACTGTTCGGTGAGCTTTGATGGATCTATACACTCAAGTAAGCACCACCTCAGTCAAATAAAGGACATTTCTGTCTCCCCAAAGTTCCCTCTGCCCTTCAGTCAACCCCTCCTCCTTTCCCCGCAGCCTCTTCTCTGCTCTCTGTCCTGATAGATTTGTTTTGCTGGTTGGAGAACTTGATACCAATGGAACCACACGGGGGGCACTCTTTAGGGCCTGGTTGATTTGGCTCGGCATCATGTGTTTCGGAGGTCCGTCCACGCTGTGGTGTGTATTGGTAGTCTGTTCCTTTTTATCGCAATAGCTCGTGTTATTAACAATCATTGTCTCAATTTCAGTTTCCTCGTCTGTAAAATTAGGTTAATAATTTCCACCTGGTAGAAAGCAGTGACGAACAAACAGGAGCGTGAATAACGCCTCGGCCACGGTGACTCCCCCACAGGGGACCCGCAGCCCCAACTCAGGCATGCTCCCCCCTTCCCCAACCATCTCCCCATGACCCCCAGATGGCCCCTTCCAGAGAGCCTGAGACCAAAGGGTCAGGGCTTGTGAGCTGATGGGGGAGAAACTTTCTGAATAGACGCGCAGCCTGAGATGATGGCCGTGTTTATAAAGCAGACTGTTATTATTTTAATCCTTTGCCTGTGTCCTTTCCCCTACTTCCCTCTTTTAAGGATAATTAAAATGCAGGCTGGCACTCCCTGCAAGGAGACAGCTGAAGATTTAATTGCCCCAAGAAATATTTTTCAGCGAAAGGTCCTGCGGTAATGGCAGCTCCGGGCCCGGCCACCCCAGCGCCTTTGCAACCCGCACATAATATCGGCGGTAATGCGTTCGTCCGCATGTGCACAGGGTCTGTTTACGGGCACCAAGGGAGCCGGGCTGAAAGGAGCTGACAGCTCGTCCGCCCACAGCCTGCTCGCCATTAAACGCTCACCCGGCCTCCTTCTGGAGACAGGTCTGTGGCCCAGATCCATGTGACTGGCTGCTGCACCAGCTGACCCTGCCCAGAGCAGCCTGCGGGGGCACAGGGCCCGGGTGGCTGGGAACAGCACCTTCGCCATGCGGCCTTGGCCTGTTGTCCTTGAAGCGAGGCCAAGGAGGAGGCTTTCGCGGAGCAGCCCAGCCCCACCAGCCCTTGAAGATGGGATACCCACCAGCGGCGCCAGGTTGTGCAATGTCAGGGTAGGGAAGGACCTTCGCAATCTGTCACCCTGTTTTCTAAGTGTGGCCCCAGCTTCCCCAGATGAGGCACCAAGGGCTCAGACAAGGGCCACAGGCTCCTCGACTGTTGGGGCGCACATGTCAGTTTTTTACAAAGTGACTGCTCTGAAGCCAGGGTCATGGTGAAAGGCAGACTGACTCGGTGGGGAAAGCCAGGCGGACTGGACTTTCATTCCTGTTCCAAACTTGCCAGCCGGGCACTTTCAGTTCTAAGGTGCTACACAGTCTCCAGCCCCTAGGCTTCTTTACATTCTCTTATGTTATTTCCTCACCTTTCCTCCCTCCCTCCCTTCCTCCCTCCCTCCCTCCCTTCCCTCCCTCCCTCCCTCCCTCCCTCCCTCCCTCCCTCCCTCCCTTCCTTCCTTCCTTCCTTTCCATATATCCATTCTCCCATGCATCTATCCATCCAGCCATTCATCCTCTCTTCCTCCTTCCCACTTACCCATCTTCCCATTCATTCATCCTCTCATCCTCCATCCTCCCACTCCTCCATTCCTCCTCTCATCCAGCCAACAAATATTTATCGGATGCCTTCTATGGACTGAGCACTGAAGTTACATTGGTGAGCAAAGGCAATACCTACTTTGCCCCAAGGCAGCTCCCAGGCCAGTGGAGGTGAAGGATGTTAATAAAATAATCACAGGGTGAATGTATAATTGCAAATGGTGACAAAGGTTACAAAGGAAAATCCTGGGCAGGGTTAGGATGGTGTTGAACAAAGGAACTTGGCTAAGTTTTTGGACTGGAGGCCAAGAAGGAAAGACCCAACCAGTGTTCCAGGCAGAGGGAGCAGCATATGCAAAGGGCCTGTGGTTCATTTTGGGAGCTGTCAGGACACTTGTTGCAGAGAGTGATGGGGGAGGGCTGTGCCATGCAGGGCTGCGGAGTTTGGCAGGGGCCGGCCCATATGGGGAAGGCTTGCATCTGCCCGGCACTGCCTCCTTCCTACCCTCTTCCATTGGCTCATTCATACACATCTTTAGGTCCTTAGGTCCAAGCTGAAAGCATTTCCTTTTCAAAAAGCCTTTTCTGCCCTATGTGGGCTGAGTGAGGACTGTGTATTTTCTCCTAATAAGAAAAAGTATTGGAAACTTATAATTAAGACAAAAGAAGGTATCACTTCTTTTTATTGCCATCCTGGGGCATTGTTTAAACAGGCCCACTGAGGGGTTAGTTCAGTCTGTGCATTCAGTTTGACTTTGCTCTTTGACCAGGGCTCAGCTTTTGTGCATTTTTTGTCCAGGAGAGGTGTAACTGACTTCTGTCGTTAGAAACAATCGCTCCAAAGATCTGAGTTTTATTATTTTGTAGAACATTAACCAGTTTTATGTGTACCCTAAAAATGTTATTCTGTATTCCTTTTCCAAACGTCTGTAAATACCCATTTCCTCTTGGACTGGGCCGTCCCCTCCTTCTGGCTCGCTCATTAATGAGCTCCTTCTGTAGTTGCATGTATCATGTTTTATAGCTTCCTGAAAATCACACGCTGACAACCCCTTGTCCTAGCAACACTCATGCACGTATTGGAACTACCAGATGCGCTGGCTCCCTCACAGCCCATGAGCTCACCCGGGTGTGGCCATCTTTTGTCAACATGGTCGCCTCAGCATTTTTGCACAGGGCCAGGTTCACAGTAATTATTGAGAAATAATTATTGGCTAAGTGAGTGACCTTGAGCTTTTATCCCTTTACTGTTTGGAGCCCCGATTTTCTTATCTGAGAAATGGACACCATAGCACCCATCAAACATCCAAAGGAAGTAGGGTTCAGTGAAATAACGAGGTCAAGTGCCCCGATCTGGCCTGGCACATGGTGGTCTTCAGTGCCCCTTCCCGGGGCTGGATCCTAACGGAAGGAAGTGAAGTTCTAGTAGTCGGGAGGTCGTGGTCTGGCTGGGAGCACTGAGTCATATGGGGTGAGTCGCTGTGTGACCAGGGCAGTCACAGGTGGGTCTACCTGGTATTTGATGGGCCGGGAAGACTAACCTGGCCAGAATCCAGGCTGGGCTGGGGAAGAGCAGGACGTGTCCTTAAAAAGGTCAAGTGGGGTGAAGGAAGGTGACTCTGAAAACCAGGCTGGTGTGTTGTGTTCTCCAA